ACCTACTATCACAGATACTAAAACAGAGATATCATTTATAATATAATATTAATATTAAAATAACAATATATACTAACACTACACCACTAACAACACAGCTTACTATCACAGGTACTAAAACAGAGATATCATTTATAATATAATATTAACATTAAAATAACAATATATACTAAAACTACACCACTAACAATACAGCCTACTATCACAGATACTAAAACAGAGATATCATTTACAATATAATATTAACATTAAAATAACAATATATACTAAAACTACACCACCAACAATACAGCCTACTATCACAGATACTAAAACAGAGATATCATTTATAATATAATATTAACATTAAAATAACAATATATACTAAAACTACACCACCACCAATACAGCCTACTATCACAGGTACTAAAACAGAGATATCATTTATAATATGATATTAACATTAAAATAACTATATATACTAAAACTACACCACCAACAATACAGCCTGCTATCACAGGTACTAAAACAGAGATATCATTTATAATATAACATTAACATTAAAATAACAATATATACTAAAACTACACCACCAACAATACAGCCTACTATCACAGATACTAAAACATTCATGTTACGCTTACATGGTACTATATGTTTTTTTTATCTTCAAACACCCTATACATTGCATTGTATAATGATAAATATTAAAACACCGTTACACCAGAAAGGCATTATTACTTATCTGCTACTGCTCAGAGAATGTTAAGGTTGCCATTATCGTGGTATAATCATGTAATTGTTGTGACTATTTGCCAAGTCAAGGCGTTAATTTTGGATAAATGTATAGGTTCCTTCCTGTTTGACTCTCAGTCGCCATAAGATCGCAATAGTTCCTGTCCGAAATTTCCGCGCAACTTCCTGATTGGTCAATTGGTTTAATTTGTTAACTGAGATCTCATGCTAGCCCATTGAATAGGAAATTGTTACTATAGAAAATGAATTTTTATTGTAAGTGGGATTTCTATATTTTAAAATATTACTTACAATCTGAGTTCTGGGATTCTTCTGCCATGTTACTTATGTATGTGGTTTCTGTAGACTGTCCAGACGCACCTGATGTACTGGTTTGGTTTTTGAGGCTTACTCGACTAGGTGGCGATGTGTGAGATGGGTTCGTCCACGGACTGCGACAGGTTAGATTAACTTGTTGACCTGGAAGTTATAATCATATTACTTCATATAACAGTTGCATGGGGGAAAAATCAGAACTAAGGGTACGTTACTTGGTTAAGTATGTTAGACAATTAGGTTAAATCTAACTCGCTAATGAATAGAACAAATCCTTTGTCTTTACCTGGACGTCTTACTGTCACTGTGATGTGAAATGAATTTAAGTTTTTTTTATACAGGCTTGTCGTCAAGATACGCCAGCTTTTATTTTATTTCATTTATTTTTATTTATTTTTTTCGTAATTTTGTTGTTTTTTTTTAGAAATAAATTAAATAACTTCATTTATTTCCTAATGAGAACGATTGGCCACCATACACATCATCGTGCCTATTTAAAAAACAAACAGTGAGTATGGCAAACAGTGTTCCCAGTTCCTAATTTATGTACGGAACCATATCAGAATATTTCTCAAAGGTCACAACTGCAGGGAATCGTTGCTTTAGTAGTTGGACGACACAGTTATAACTAACACACAACGTCTGCACGTTTCGTTTCGTGATCTTCTACTGGTGACTCCACCTTTGTCATCCGTAATCTGATGAAATTGTATTGACTATCGTGTTCTCGGTGATACGATACTAAACCACGCAAATGTACTGTTTTACAGAATATATACTCACA